GCCTGTGGTCCTGCTGGCCTGCAGACGGTCGCGTGATGCCGCCGGCCCGAGGGCCACCAAGCAGGGGGGTGCGGGCAGCCTCCACAGGTCAAGAGAACGAGATGGTTCTTCCTCAGAGCTGCCCGCAGGGGACACAGCCTGGTCACGCGTCGGTTCCGGCTTCGTGAGACCCCGAGCAGAGAACCCGGTCACGCCGTGCTGACTCCTGCCCCACAGAACCGTGGGCCAGTGAAGCAAGCGTTGGCCGAGCTACTAAATCGTGATTATTTAATACGCAGCAACAGGTAATCATACAAAAAGCAGCACAAACGCATGGTTGCAAAGTTAGCAAAACCAGACACAAAAAGAAGGGAATGAAAACCACTGATGGTGAGTCCGCCCAGACGGGCCTCTGGCTAACGTGGCTGAGCAGCCTTTCGTGTATTCTCTCTCTCTCTCTCTCTCTCTTGCACATTTACCAGCTGTATTGGGCTGCGGTTGACCTACACCACGTTTTAGTGTTTTTAAATCATGGTACGGTTCGTCAGGTGGACGTGCGCTTGCTCCCACGAAGCCTGCCCCTCAATCAGGATATTGAACCTGTCCTACTCCCCGGAGTCCCTCATGCTCCTCTGAGGCCCCTTCCGCCCACGCCCGCCCATCCCCGCCACCCCCAGGTGCGTGATGACACCGTTCTGTCACTGTGCAATGCAGCAGTCCCCCCACTTAACTGTGGTCCCAGTGACCGGCGCTCAGCCGTGGTCCCGGAGCAGATGATCCTGCATCACAAGCCCTCGTCACTGGCCCACCTCACCGTGTGGGCGTTCTGTCACCTCCCAGCCTCCCAGGAGGAGGGGCGAGTGCAGGGCAAGAAGACATTTCGAGAAGAGAGAGACCACATTCACGTCCCTTTAATTATAGTGCATGGTTATAATTGCCCTATTATGAGTTATTGCTAATTTCGTACCGTGCCTGAGTTTAAAGCACACTTCACCGCAGGTGCGTATGTGGAAGAGAACAGTCTCTGGAGGGTTTGGTGCTGTCCCTGGCTTCGGGCATCTGCTGGGGGACTTGGAAGCATCCCCTGCAGATAAGGGCGGGGGGGCGCTTCTGTGCTGTCACGTCCAAGAACCGTGTGTCGGTGGAATCATGCAGTCTGTGCTTCTTGGTTTAGTGTTTTGATCTCCGTGTTTCCTCACGCTGCCTTCAAATTCAGTAAGTTCAAGTGCATCTGCAAGATCGGACCTTCTGTTGATCCCATCCAGCCACTTTCCATATGAGACTCCCAGTTCTTGTCTCTGGGCCTCTGATCTGGGTCCTTCTGGCCTCCCTCCACCCTGTTTAAGGTGCGCGTCTCCCCCTCCCTCCTGGAACGCACGGGGTCAAGTTATGACGGGGGCCACAATGTCCTGTCTACCAACACATTCATCTGTGTCACGTCACCCTGTCTCAATCAACTTGTCCTAATGGGTCACACTTCCCTGCTTCGTGGCACGCCTGGTGGCATTTCACTGGGTCCAGACGTTGTGTGCTTTACCTCGTCGGGGGCCACGGAGTTTCGTGGTCGCGTGACTACTGCTCTCCTCAGATGCGTGTCCTGCTCAGCGCTCCCCTGTCCTGGGTCTGTCTTATCAAGCTCCCCACATTCCAGGCCGGGTCCCTTGTCCCCGGGTGGTGAGCCGGCACCGGGGGGCGGGGGGCTCAGCTGGGCTTTGTTCCCATCCTGCGGCATGATGTCCTTCATTTCCTCATGGCCAGCGTCTCCAAGAGAGCCCTTTCCTGTTTTGTCCGGTGTTTTCTTGGTTCAGACCAGAGGGTAACTCTAGTTCCTGTTATTCCGTCTCAGCCAGACGTAGAAATATTGGCATATATTTTGAAAAAGAAACAATCAAGCCAGACCCGGTGTTTTGAATCCTGGTCACCATGCCTGGAAATGGTCAGTCAGTGGGGTTCGGGCTGTCTCCCTGCAGAAGGCCCGGGGAGGTTGGCTGCAGCAGATCGAGCCCCACCCCGTGCCCTCGGGGTCACTGCTGGGCTCGGGTCCCCGTCGGATGTGCGCATGGGCCCGTCTCGTCTGTGGGAACCCCCGAAGTGAGCTCTGGGGAGCCGGGTCCTGAGACGCTGACCAGGGTCAGAGTGGGGCAGGGGGACCCTGGGTGAGGACGGGCTGCCCGTGGAGGAAAACTCACAGGCGAGCAGGAGATCCTCGTCGGGACCTGGTTCCCGGGGCCGAGGCGGGGAGGCAGCCGCGTCCACAGGGCCGGCCTCCCGGAGCCGACACGCTCACACCGTGAGTGTTGAAGGAAACCACGACCTGTCGTAACGGTGTCCCCCAAACTTTTTTAACTTAAATTTAGTGAGTTGAACCTATCGGTCTCCTAACTAGAGCGAATCCTTCTGTCCGTCCACGCCCAAGTTCCCGTTCGGGGCCCTGAGAGCGGCCGCACCCCCACCCCGTCCTCCGGTCCAGGACCCGGGAAGGGACAGGGCGCTCGGAAATTCTCTGCCAGGGAAGCTCCGCGTACACGTCGCCGTCCCGGGGATGTCCGTCCTGTCCGGCGTCAACCTGAGCGATGGTCCCCTAACCACAGCAGTGACACCAAACGGGAGGAAATTGCTTTCTGTGAGAGAGCCCAAATATCGCAGTTTCTGGATCAATAGAAGAGACGTGTTGAGTAGAGTGACGGGAATGTTCGATTTGCTCCGTCTAGAAATCACATGAGATGGGAGCCATTTACTAATAAGATTCACACGTGTGGAACGAACACATAAAACACTACCCTGAAAGTATAATCTTACCAGGTCTCTAAAACATGGCGTAAACACTTAGTAATAGCAATAAAACCAAAGGAGGAAAAAAGTTGAATTTATTTTAGAAGACAAAAATCTGGCTGTGTGTCTGGGTTATTTTAGTGAATTTATTGGCAATAATAAAGATAGTGTAATTACAGTACTTATAAATAGGATAAAATGTAAGAATCTCATGCAAGAGTTATTTAAATACTCCGCAGTTGTAGAACATTATCTAAAAATTATAATCTGAGAGGTTTGAGACATTGATTAATCACTTCGTGGCAGGAAAACTAAGAGAAAAACCAGAATTAACTTTAGCAGAGAGGAAAGTGTCGTGCTGTGGTTTTGGGTCTTCAGAAGCCTCCTTGGAGGATGGGGACAACTTGGAGGCAAGTCACTTCTGCTTTGAGGCTGCGTGGACAGTGCTTGGTGTAGACACATCTCTGGGCACGTCAATGGGCATATGCATGTCGGGGAGTCCTGGGGTGGGGCCCCAGGCCCCTAGGCAGTTTCTTCCTCCTGTTCTGGAATCTGGGGAAGGACCGACCCTCTGCTGTGAGGCCAGGGTGAGGGAAGGAGGGAGCCCAGGTCGGCGACACCTTGTTCCATGGGCAGGCTGGATCGAAAGAGTTCTGTCTCCCGCTTCTGACTGTGATTTTCTGCTGTGGCGAAGCGATCCCAGGGCGGTGACTTCCCCGCGTGATCTTTAAGGGCATGGACTGTTCTGGTGCGTCCATTAATCCCGCACACATTTGGGTGTTTTCTTTATGTTTAACTCAGCCGCATCAATGTGTCCTTGGAACCCCTTTGGGTCACCGTCCAGAGGGCCCCCTGAGACCCGCTCTCTCTCCGTGTTCCCGAGCTTCTTTCTGCTGACGAACTAGGTCACCAGGCCCCCCTGCGTGCCAAAGCTCGGTCGGGGGCTCCCCGTTGTGGAAAATGCCCGTTTTCAAAAAAATCTTTATTGCAGGGGCGTCTGGGTGGCTCAGTCGGTTAAGCGGCCGACTTCGGCTCAGGTCGTGATCTCACGGTTCATGAGTTCTAGCCCCGCGTCGGGCTCTGTGCCGACAGCTCGGAGCCTGGAGCCCGCTTCGGATTCTGTGTCTCCCTCTCTCTCTGCCCCTCCCCCCTCTCGTGCTCTGTCTCTCCAAAATAGTGAATAAATATTTTAAAAAGTTATAAAATAGGGGCGCCTGGGTGGCTCAGTCGGTTAAGTGTCTGACTTTGGCTCAGGTCATGATCTCGCAGTTTGTGGATTCAAGCCTCACACGGGACTCTCTGTGCCGACAGCTCGGAGCCTGGAGCCTGCTTCAGATTCTGTGTCTCCCTCTCTCTCTGTCCCTCCCCAGCTCGAGCTCTGCTTCTCTCTCTCTCTCTCAAAAATAAATAAACATTAAAAAATGTAAAATAAAATAAAATCTCTATTGTGAAGTTCACCCTTTTGAAGTGAGCAATCTGATGGTTTTTAGTCACTTGACTGTGTGGCACAACTGTGGCCGTAAACAAGTTGGAGGTTCTGTTCATCACCCACTAAGATCCCCTCAGGGCTGGAAGTTTGGGTGAGTTGACAGCCTGTCCTTCACTTTCTTTCTGATTCCGGAGCCCCTGTCTCCTGCCCCAGGAGACCCTGGCACCCTCTCTGGGGCCACAGGCAGCCCCGTGGCGAAGTTTCGGGAGAGTCCCCAGGAGGGTGTCCTGCACCACGAAGCTGCCGCTGGGACGGGGGCCACTGGCGGGCTGACCCCGAGAGCCCGGCGCGGGAAGGGCGGTGTTTGCTGGAACCTAGTTTGAGAAACACTGACGGGGCGACTCGAGTCCCGTGTCCCCAGCTGAACGCCCTCCCGCATCCTGCCTCCCTGGCTCCACCACCCTCACGTGCCACCTTTCGCACGTGTGGCCCCGCACTCCGCCTCCAGGAGGCGCGTGGTCAGCACTTGCTTTGTGCCACATACTCTCAGAGCCCGGACACAAGGCGCAGAGCAAAACGTAACAGGACCCCCCTGTCCTCCCGTAGACGTGACACAGTCCAGTTGTTGGGATTTTGCTTTGGCTCCCGAACAGCTGCCCCTTCTTGGGAAAGGAGGTGGCGGTTTTCAGGGCCGCGGTGTGTGAGACGGCCGCTGCTGAGACTTGGTGCGTTCATGCTGGTTAGCCACCTGCACCGACCCCTGGCCTCTCCTGTGTCACCCGTCACTCGGCCTCCCTGGACGCATCTTCATTCTTCACAGGTGTCTCCAGTGGAGGAAATACAGCTGCTGGCAATGTCCCGCCAGCATCGTGGGGGCTCAGGGTCCACGGATGTCCATCTCTGTCTCCCCTGCACCGTGACCAGATCTCAGAGCAGCCTGGCTCAGGTTCGGTCGAGGAGAGTGTCTTTGCCAGTGGGTGTGGGGCGTGAGTGTATGTGTCATGGGAGCAGAGACTCCCCTGGGTTCCTGGCCCCCCAAGAGGAGGGACAGGGCATTTCAAACAGTGTTTATTTTATTTAAAGCAGGAAAGAAACATGACATTTATGCAACTCCAGGATCTCGGAACTACCATATTTATATCACATAAGGAACCAGCAAACAAGGCTGCCTGGGGCTCATTTGGCTGCATATTGGGTAGCACAAGAGCTGTTTGGGCACAGAATCCAGGACACCGGGCACCAGCGGGGACATCAGTCTGCACCCCGGGCCGCTGTGTTGAGGAGGCAAACACTTCCCCCTTTGCCGGAAGGTTGGGCCACCGTCAGACTGGCTGCTGCTGGCTGTCCCCAGTCTGGGCGGCTGCTGTCTCAGGCTCGGCCTGGCTCCCGCCGTCCGACGGCCTCTCCCAGCTCGCTGGGGACCCCTGTGCACCTTCTCCCTGACAGCACCGCGCCCTCTCTGTGCCGTGTCACACCCTCAGCCACCAGCTACGCGTCTGGACAGAAGACACACGAAACCAGCGCCGTGGCAGTTGACGTCCTGTTCCACGTGCACCTGTCTGTCTTCTTCCGTACTCTGGGCTCCTTACCTTTAAGTAGGACCCGGGTGACAACATCCGCACTTACTTACTGACAGACAGGCCTCCTCCGGCCGGACGGAACGTGCCGGCCTCAGGGGATGCATGTCGACGTGCATCCCGGAGCTGCCCATGGGGTCTGGCACACAGTAGGCACACAACACAGACTTGCTGGATGGCCGGATGGCTCCGCGATCTCTCAAGATGGTGGGAAGCGCTGTGACCACTTACTGAGCGTGCTGCTGTGTTCCAGCATCTCGGCTGTGGCAGATGACCCTCGAGCAATGCAGGTTGAACTGCTTGTGTCCACTCACCCGTGGCTTTTTTACAGTACACACTAAATGCATTTTCTCTCCCCTGTGACTTCCTTAAAAACGTTTTCTTTTCTCTGGCTGACTGTGTTGTGAGAATACAGTATACAAGGCATACAGTGTACAAAATACGGATCAATCAGCTGCTTATGACATCAGTAAGGCTTCTGGTCAGTGGTAGGCTACTTGTAGTTAAAGTCTGGGGAATTCAAAGTTCTCTGTGGTCAACCGTGAGGGGTAGGCACCCCTCACCCCTGTGTTGTTCACGGCCAACTGTGTTGTCACCGTCACGAGGGAAGACTCTGTGCTTCTCTGAAACTCTTATTTAAGTATTGCCCTGCTCTGCTGTCGGCTGGTCCTGTCACGTACGCGCCTCTGTGACCCGGGTCATGGGGGGCGGCGAGGAAAGAATGAGGTGCCTCTTCTCAGAAGGTGTTGACAACAGAAGGGATGGAATCCGTGTCCCCTAAGGTTGCAACACAGCAGCAGGAGAAGTGTGGGAAGGGGCCAGGACTCTTGAGGGCCACCCCGGAGAGGCGCAGGAGGCAAGGGCAGTGAGTGCCCTTGCTGGGAGGCCGCTGCCTGAGGCTCTGACCACCCCCCTGCACAACCATGCCAGCCACTGACAGGAGGGACGAGGCCCACGGGCCTTTCCAATGCTTTCCTTGTCCTCTTTCATTTGATGTTTAGTGAAACCTTGTTCATTCTTACTTAAAAGTTACCAAGATTTCTTTGTCTTTTCTCACCATCTTTGATGACTTCTCTCCAGATGAAATTCATTTCCAAAAGTGCATTTCTTTTTCATCCCCCCCCCCCATTTGTTTTATATCCAAGAAATATTCACTCTTTGGCTAGTGTGTAGAGATTATTAAGGCAATGCCATGGCTTCCAGAAACACATATATTAACAGGGGGACAACCTCTCTGCATTAACACATGGTAAATCCCGTGTGTTCTCCTTCCTGCCCACTGTAACCCCCTGAGGCCCACGTAACCCTTGGGTGCAGCTACATCTGGTGAAGGAGTGAATAAGAGCTAGTTAGGGGCACATACCGTATGCCAAGTGCTACTCCTTGTGGTGTTTGTACTTTATCGTATTAGATTCTCGCAGCCACCCCAAGGCAGTAACACCACGCAACAGGGACTGCCATGGGAGCGCTGACAGGTGACCATGTGGAAGGACGTTTGAAGAAGAGGAGCAGAGAGAAGACATTTGAGCAAGAACTTGAAGGGTGTGAAAGCAGGATCCGGGGAAGGGATGAAAGTCAACCAGAGTCACCAGCAGGGTTAGATGCCCCATCAAGTGACTGACACGTTCACCATGATATCATTTCCTCCCCTCTGTCCCGGGAGGACTTTCAGATCATTGATGGGCTGGACCACCCAGAGAAAGGACCTGAGCTCCTGAGAGTATAGGGTAGGACCGAAGCATATATGGCTAATTACACTCAAGTTAAGAATGAGATCTGGGGGCGCCTGGGGGGCTCAGTCGGTTAAGCATCCAACTTCGGCTGGGGTCATGATCTCATGGTCAGTGAGTTCTAGCCCCACATCGGGCTCTGCTGACAGCTGGGAGCCTGAAGCCTGCTTCTGATTCTGTGTCTCCCTCTCTCCCTGACCCTCCCCTGCTCACATACACACACTCTCTCTCTGTCAAGAATAAATAAACACTAAAAAAATTTTTAAAAATGGAAAAAAAAAAAAAAAGAATGACACCTGGATGCTTTTTGGTACCATTTAAGAGAGGAAGTCAGCATCAACCTTGAGAACTGTTTGAATTTCTAGAACCTATGGGTTTGTCCAAATATGATCTTTTAAGCACATTTCTGTTTCCTTGAAGGCTAGAGAACATTCTCAAAACATTAAGGGCCCCCGACCTTGCATCTTGAACAGCAGGCAGAAGGAGGGGGTGGATTGGTGCTGGGTGCTAAGCGGCTAAAGCTGCTGGACAAGTGGCCTGAGTAGAAGGGAGCACCAGCAAGAAATAGCACCACAGCTCTAGAGAGGAGGGCACCGCATGTGTCCTCCTTGAAGCCTGTGGAATTAAGACATGGAAGGAGGGAAGGAAGTTCTCACCAAATTGAGACATAGGATTATTTCTATTATATATTTCCTCTTGAGTAAGTTTTGGCAGTTTTTGTCTTTCAAGGACTTTCCCCATGTCCTCCGAGTTATCAAATATATTGGCATAAAGTTGCTCGTAGTATTCATTTCAATATCTGTAGAGTCTGTAGCGATGTCTCCCCGTTCATTCCTTATGTATACAACTCGTGACTTCCCCTTTTCCACCAGATAATCTCGATAGATGTTTACCATGTTTATTTATGTTTTCATAGAATCAACTTTTAAAAAAAATATTTATTTATTTTTGGGAGAGTGCAAGAGGAGGAGGGGCAAAGAGAGGGGGACAGAGGATCTGAAGCAGGCTCTGCGGTGACAGTCTGATAGCAGTGAGCCTGATGTAGGGCTCAAATCACAAACCATGAGATCATGACCTGAGCCGAAGTTGGATGCTCAACCGAGACACTCAGGTGCCCCAGAATCAACTTTTTGATTTGTTTATTGCCTCAATTTTTATGTTTTTGTTGATTGCATGGATGCCTGATTTTATTTTTAATTCCTTTTTTATACTTCCTTAGAGATTAATTTTGCTATTTGTGATGATCTTCAGAATGGAAGTTTTGATCATTAATTGATCATTCTTCATACATTTAATGGTGCAGATTTCCCTCTAAGTGAAGCATTAGGTGTGCTCTATAAATGTTGATATTTTATGTTTTAATTTTTATCCAGTTCGTGATATTTTCTAATTTTACTTGTGATTTTTTTCTTTGACCCAATGTGTATTTAAAAGTTTGTGTTCACTTGCAAATATTTGGAGATTTTTAAGATTTTGTGGGGAGGGTGTAGGATTCTGGTCTAAGTTCGTTGTGATCAGAAATCATACTTGCATGATTTGAATAGTTTTTAAAATATTGGGAAATTTTAATGATCTCTCTAGATAAATATTCCATGTACAATAAAAACAATACGTATTCTGCTTTCATTGGGTGGACTGTTCTGTAAGTGTCAAATAGGTAATATTGGTTTATGTATTTACTCAGGCCTTTTTATCCTTACTGATTTTCAGTGTACTTGTGTTACAGACACTCACATTCAGCTGCCTGTCACTCGAAAGGCCAATTGTCAAGAGATGAGTTTTAACATGAAAACTTCTCCACCTGGGGAGAAGGCAGACTCTTGTCCACAGGCCAACTCCCAGGTCTCAGTCTGACTCAGAGACTTTTTAAGGGGTTTAACCAGTTAAGGGAGTGCAGTCATCTGTGACATTTCTTGATTATGTGCAGACTCAGTGATGCCAGCTACAGAATTATCTCTGTGCTCAGAGGTCGTACAAGGTGGGGATGCTCTGGTGTTTTATTCCCCAAGGCCAGTAGTATGCAAATCTCAAACAAAGTAAATTAATTCTGTTACAGATCAGGGGCTTTAAGTCAGGGAGCAAGGAGTGTGTTACCTTGAACAAGTTAACCCTTTAGACCGGCTGGAGGGCTGTCCTGCCTGTTCTATTAATTATTGGACAGGAGTATTGAAGTCCTGACTGAGATGGTGGAATTTTCTGTTTCCGTTTGGTTTGAGCATTTTTTGTTTTATGAATCTTGACCTCTGTTATTAGACATATTTAAGATTTTTCTCTCCTTTCGATGGTTTAACTTGTGAAATTAGGGTTATGAAATATTTCTCTTTTTCACCAATGATTTTCTGTTCTCTAAAAGTCTTTTTTATGTGATAGTAATATAGCCAGTCTAGTTTTCTTTGGAATGTTACATACTTGATGTATATTTCCTATCCATTTTAAGGTCATGTGTTAACAACCTGCATTCCATCTGCAAACTTAATTCCTCTTTGCCGTGTAAATGAGCATATTCACAGGCTCTAAGGATTAAGACGTAGACATTTTGAGGGGACCATTATTCTGTGTACCACAGATCAGACTTCCCGGAGGTTTGTCATATTTTTCACCTTTCAAAAAATCTCTTTTATTTTTCTCTGCCTTCTGGTTTTGATTTTATTGATTTCTGCTCCTTATTATTTCCTTCCTCTTGTTTGCCATGGGTTTATTTTGCTCTCTGTTTTCTAGCTTCTTGATGTAGGACGTCAGGTTATGGACTTGAGACTTTTCTTCTTTTCTAATGTATGCATTTATTGCTATAAATTCCCTTTCAATAATGCTTTTAGCTCTGTCCCACAAATATGGATATGTTGTATTTTAATTTTCATTTAGGTCGATGTATTTTTTTTTTTTAATTTTCCTTGAGATTCCATTTTAGACCCATGGATTACTTTGGAGTGTTGTTCAGTTTCCAATTGTTTGGAGAATTTCCTATTGTCGTTCTAGTGTTGATCTTTGATTTGATTCCATTATGGTCAGAGAACATGCTCTGTATGATCAATTCTTTTAAATTTGGTGAGGTTTGTCTTGTGGCACAGGATGTGGTCTATCTGGCTGTCCGATCCTTTGGTACTTGAAGTGAGTACATATTCTGCTCTTGTTGAGTGGAGTGATCTGTAAATATCTGTTGTATCTGTTGATTATGTGTTGTGAGTTCTTCGAAATCTTGGCCGACTTTTGTCAAGTTGTTCTAGTTTTTTAAGTCCCTACTTCTAATTTGGGGTTTGTCTTCTTTCATTTCTATCAGTTTTTGTTTCTTATGTTATACAGCTCTGTTCTGGCTGGGTGTATACATATTTAATATTCCTATGTCTTTTTATTTTTATGTGATGTCCCTCTCTGTTTCTGTATTTTTCTTTGCTTTGAAATCTACTTGAGGTAATATTTATGTAGCCATTCCTGCTTACCTTTGATTAATGTTTGGATGATACACTTTTTTCATTATTTTACTTTCAAACTTTCTACATCATTATATGGAAGTGAATTTCTTACAGTCATCTTGTAGTTGGGTCCTGATTTTTTATCCACTCTTCCAATCTCTGTCTTGTAATTGGTGCGGAGACCATTTGCGTTTAATGTAATTATTGATATGTGAAGGCTATGGTTTCCATTTAAATCTTTGTTTTCTGTCTG